TGTATTGTTTATAATTTCTATATTTTGTACTTATATTGAAGTTTTTATATTTGCTTCTGAACTGTACTTATGTTGTTTAAATTTGATATATAATATGGCTACAGCCATATTTTTGGATTTGATATCGTCGCAGTATACTAGCTTCACCCAGTCTTTTGAACTCGGATACTCATCAGAGTAATTTCGACTTGGAAGACGTAAAAATTGTCAGGTAAACGTTTGTATTTCCATTTCTTTTATATAAATAGACCACTTTCTCTTAGAATTATTGTGTTTTGATATTCGACTAAGGGAAGGTGCGTTCGACATAAGTCTATTGGAATCGAATTGAACTGCTACGGTAGAAAATCCAACTACAATAATTATGTATAGAGGAATCTTCATGCGGTACGGATACTACAGTTATCCAGTTTCACTATTAAAATTTAGTGATTTCACTGTGGTCTCGGTCACTATTTCGTCCAAGAGTTTAACCAAGGCATTTTCCAGCCTGCACCATCCTTCCATCACCTGCGTTTTCCTGGACGAAGTGAAAATAGTCATGAACAAATTTTTATTCTAAAGAGGAATTTAGCAAGGCCGGAAGTATATATTCTCATCGAGCAGTTTCTAAAATACTCAGCATGGATACATAAGGCTAGATTGTTTTTACCAACTTATGGTGTAGGCAAGATATCCGTCTAGTAACCAAAGGACGAACTAACTGAGACACATTTTGCTCCGTCCTACTGTATGGCTGAGAAACAAAGCCAGTAAGAGTAGCAGATATTCGTAAGTTGCTGGCTTTCGAACATATGTGTCTCTGAAGCACTGCTCGTTTATCCTGGGACAACCAAGTAACTGATGCTGTCATTCGGAAACCAGTACTAGGTAAGGATGACAGATCAATAGATGAAGTTGCAGTGCATCCATTTTTATGAAGAGAATGTGATTGGTTTATTAGAAGCATTCGTGATTATCACCAATTGTACCAATGATCGTTTAACTGTACTTTTTGTCTATTACACTGTACGCGCAAACTTTCTGTTTGTGTTTCTGCCATTTTGGCTCCACTCTCTCAGTAATTGCACCCATCTTTTCTGGGTCGATTTCGGTATTCTCTCGATACCACGAAATCGCCTGCAAATATATTCTTTAACATGGGTGTAGAATCCTTTTTGAATGCTCTGTGTTTTGGAAAATCCCTCCATGTTTACATATTTTTGCTATGACATGATGGACTTTTTCTCTTGACATTTTTGGTATTTTATTTGATTCCAATTTGAGATTTTATCATTGTATATTGTTATTCTTTCTATATTTTGTACTTATATTGAAGTTTTTGTGTTTGCTTCTGAACTGCACATATGTTGTTTAAATTTGATATAATATGGCTACCGCCATATTTTTGGACGGACGCGGTGGCTGCTGGACTTAGTGTCACTTATTGGTTATTGTGTCGGATACTCTGCGGAGTAACTTAACCCTGGAAGAAGTACAATTTCCGTAAGGCTTTGTATTTCCATTTTCTAACTAATAAAGAGACGTTTTCTCCTAGAATTTTGTCCTTTTTTGGATTGGTTGGGACCCGGGACTAGGAAAAGCGTACAGGAGTGCTTCTATTGGAAACAATTGGGACGGCCACTGTCGAAACAAATTTACAATGGGTTTATTTATTTTCTCTTTGACCGGCTTTTATTAAGTATTTAGTGGTGATCACAGTCAATCTCGACTCGAAGAGGAAAGCCTGACACAAGTGGAAGGTCTCCTTGAAGGATTCCGATCGCAGTTCTTACTTGGCATTGAGAAACAGATGCAATGCCAAAGTTCGAAGCGATAGGAGACAATTCCAGACGATACTAGCCGCCAGAATAGAGGCAAACCCGAAACATCTGTTTAGGTTGATGTCCGAAAGAAAACCTACTAATCAAGGGTTGTGCCCCCTAAAAGGGCCTAACGGAGAAGACCTCACCAACCTAGAGATGGCCGAGATCTTCAACACCCATTTTTCTGATCAATTAAACCAGGCGCCTACATGTTCAGAGTATTACGCCAACCCAATGCCCGCTGACGGCTTAGGGAACATCCGTATCACTCCTGACCTAGTATTAAGGAAACTAAAATCCTTACGCCCAGGTAAGTCACCAGGTTGTGACAACATCCGCCCTATAGTCTTGCAACAGTGCGCTGAAGCCCTCTGTTCACCGTTATGCAACCTGTTCAGGCATTCACTGGAGTCACACCAATTCCCAGCGGAATGGAAAGAAGCTAGTCTCCCTCCAATCTTCAAAGGAGGAGATAGAAAGGATCCAGCCTGTCACAGACCAGTCGCACTACTACCTATGTTATCAGAGGTTATGGAAGGGCTAGTGGACGAACAAATGAGCGAGTACATGGATAAGAATAAAATACTCCATGAAGCTCAACACGGGTTTCGGAAATGCAGGTCGTGTGCATCTAATCTTCTCATCGCATGGGACAGTTGGACATCCTGCTTGGACCGTAAAATACCAGTGCACGTAGTATTTCTCGACTTCGCAAAAGCCTTTGACACAGTGCCCCACGCACGCCTAATCGAAAAGGTTGTGGAAATGGGCTTCACTGACCCACTCGTATCTTGGCTCAGAAACTACCTTGAGAATAGAAAGTTTCGCACCAAGGTAAACAGGGTGCACGCGAGTTGGAGAGTATCCACTTCAGGAGTTTCACAGGGGACCATCCTAGGCCCACTCCTCTTCCTGATATTCATTAACGACCTGCTAAGCTTAGTTAGCTCACCGGCACTGATCTACGCAGACGATGCGAAGATCTGGAGGTACATTAGAAGCGAAGAGGATTCGACTGAGCTTCGAAAGGACCTTACATCCGTTGAGAAATGGGCAGTGAAAAACGGTTTAAAACTCAACCAACCGAAGTGCCACGTCATGCATTTCCTGCCTCATATGACACAAACCACCTACACTCTCAATGGAAGTCCGCTCCCTAATGTCTCCTCAGAGCGCGATCTTGGTTTAATAACCACAGAAAGCCTCCATACGAGTCCGAACTATGTAGGGGATGAAGCCAAGGTAAATGCGACTCTTCACTTTATGCGAAGACAGCTTGGTGCTATAACCCCGAAATTATTTTTAACCCTCTTTAAGACGTACGCGCGCCCACACTTGGAGGTTCACAACGTCATCGCACCCCCTCTGCTTAAAAGAGACATTAATCTCTTGGATCGAGTGCAGAGATGAGCAACCAAATGGGTGATAGGGTTGAAAAATAAACCGTACGACGATAGACTCCAGCTCTTGGGATTATTCCCACTGAGCTACAGGAGAATCAGAGGTGACCTGATTATGGCGTACACCATATTAAACACGCCAAACCATCCCAATGTGAGCATCTTACCGATGCATCACCACCACTCCCCTCGAGGCAATCCTCGAAAGATTGCACATCAAAGAGTAGAACTCAGGTTCGTGCACACTTTTTCTCATTGAGAGTCGTCGCAACTTGGAATGCTCTCCCAGCCGAGGTGACTACATTCGCCTCAGTAGTCTGCTTTAAGAAGAGACTTGATAATCACGTACTCACATACGGACTATCATCTCCCTCTTGGACAAGCTGTACCTGATGCATATCTTGAGACCTGCTAGTTGTTACCATTGCCATCTCCTCAGATCACTCAATTAATCTATCTCGCCTATTCCTCTCCCTTGCTTACACTTCGGTCCTCTCTCACAATCTTCACTACCAATTAATAAACTAAATTCATCTATATATTACTCAGTTCTGAAATTTTACTCATATTATCAATTTAATTTATCTTTATTACCCTTATTACTCTCCACATTGCAACTAACTGATCTCCGGTTTGGTAATGTGACGGCTGCTAGTATCTAGAAACCCTACTGCCCTGAAACAAACGTTTCATTCAAATCCCGAGACATACAAACTCACAACCAACTGCCAACTGACTAGAATTAGACAGTCGAGTGGCTAGACCTCCATCCACTGGACATTACCGAACACCTGGAACCGTACCGAAAGAACAAGAATCGAGCGTGAAGAAATCAAATTGGTTTACACTAGCTCGTGAAAAAGATATTGGATATTGGATCGCCACTAAGTATTTTTGAAACTTCATCATTTGAGGTGGTTGGTACATGTGTTACGTACGCCCAACCACCGACTGCCTCGTTCAGCTATGTTTTGTGGTGTAGGTCTGCGTTGGACGAAAGCTAGTGGCAGCCAAACCAAAACATGAAACAAATTCATACATTCAGTGACAAGTGGAGTGAGTCATTTTGGTATGTGTCGACTACCTGAATGGTGTCGGATCCAAACTGAGGTTTTAACTGAGGAATAACTGTCTAGGTAGTTTAGATACGCGTCTTGACCAGTTGAAGTCAAAACAAGTGATTTGGGTAAATAACGGTTCTAATATTCATCATAAATATAAATATACATCATTACCTAAACAATATTACCACAGCTATTTCATCAAATGAGGAATAAATCAGTATGACTGTCGCCATGACTAAGTATCAGCTTAAACAATATAAATGCAGTTCAGAAAGAAACATATAAACTCAGTGAAGGCGGACGAAATAGAAACTATAATTGAATGCAAATATTATCATCTCAAATGGAGTCGAACAGACTAACAAAATGTTTAATCAATAAGGACAAATTACATATGTATATACACGGAGGGATTTTCACAAACAGAGCCTTCAAAAATTGATCTTTCAGTTGGAGCTCACGAGATGATAGTAGCCGATGGTTAGAAATCCTGAATGACATGGCTCAAAACCGTTTGCAGTAGCGCAGGGTTCCTTCAGATTTGAAGCAAGCAGTTACATAATTGTGTATTTTGTTTATATTTGTCCGGTCTTAGTAACTTACCGGTCTCTCAAAGATTTTTAGGATAAAAAACACATTCCAAACATTATTTGGTGGATTTGATGGCGTTTTCACATTAATAACAAAGCTTTGAAGACTTTACCGGTATCTCGATTCTGAATTGGATATTGAAAAGTCATGTTATCATAAGTGTTGGCAACATTCGGTGACGTGCGGTACGCTGAGATCAGCCCGTTGTGATTGTCAAAGGCTGGTTTACGGTGTAAGGATACCTAGTTCTTATTAAAACCCTCGACAATGTGGCAAGAGGCTCGCAAACAAGAAAAGCATATCAAGACCTTGATGGTCGATTATAAGAGGAGAGCAGAGCGAAGGAGAGATTATTATGAGCGCATTGTAAGACTCTCATACATAACACATTCTGCTTAGAAACAAGACCCAATTAAATTTCTTCGCCTTTTCGGTCGATCTTCCAAACTTCATCTGGACTCAGAAGTGACAAAAGCAGCTGAAAACCCTAATAACATGTAACTAAATATGGTTTTTATGTAACTAATGTATATACTAACATTCATTTATTTTTATTTATTGAATCGAGTATTGAAGAACTTACCCACATATCATTATTCATTTTAACAAATCCTGCCATCATTCACACACTGTATAACCTTCCGTTGGTTTGGTTTGCAAATCTGTTCAAGTATTGATGTTCAATCAGCACTCCGATGAAAATTCTAGGCGCGATCCCAGATTCGTAGAAATAGTAACAGTATCAGTGGTAATAGAAAAAATTAGGCATCGAAAATACGAATCACTGAAGTAGAAAGAAACTATGAGGGATTCAGAAGCTTAGATTTTGGAGAAGTCGAGGAATGGGTCTGCCTGTGTCGTTATAAACGATTTCGAGTCATGTTATTTAGAATCGATAACATAGTTACAATAATCACGCGGACCCAAACATGGCTTAGTTTAGTTGCAAGTGATACCATTGGCTGATACCAAGTTTTTATTCGGGCACCTGGCTATCTTGCAGCCAACTCCTGCACCAGACAACATTCGTTAAGGTAGGTGATAGTTGGGCATGTTAAACATGTCCCAACCACAGTGGATTGCGATTCACCGTAATAGGTTTTATAATATTTAATTTACATGAATCTTATCCATTACTTAAATGTACTTATCTGCTTACGTCTATTACCCTCGATGGAGCATAGGGCGTTGACTATTATCCAGCTTACTCTTTCCTGGGCCTTCCTTTCTAGTCCTACCCAAATTGTGTTCATTCTTCGCATGTCTGTATCCATTTCTCGGCGTAGCGTTCTTATGTCTTCCTCTTCTCCCTTGACCTTGAGGGTTCCAAGTGAGGGCTTGTCTTGTCATGTAGTTGGATGCTTTCCGCTGTCTGTTCTATCCAGTTTCAACACTTCTTCCTGATTTCTTCCTCCACTGGGATCTAGTTTCTCTCCCACGGCAGTTTGTTGCTGATAGTTTCTAGCCAACGGATCTAAATCTTTTTACGTAAACAATTGTTAGTGAATACTTGTATCTTTCCAAGTTTCCGCTGCACACAGTAGAACAGTCTTTACATTTGTATTGAGAATCCTGACTTTGGTGTTTGCGGACAATTGTTTTTAGCTTCAGGTGTTGTTCAACTGTAAAAATGCAGTCCTCGCTTTGCCGATCCACTCCATATATATATATATATATATATATATATATATATATATATATATATATATATATATATATATCCTTTGGAGTAAATTGGACAAACAATACTCTCGTTTCTCTTTTGTCATCAGTCATGTAAGGGTAAGTTGTATGATTAAGATTCTTCCATAGTGATTCAAGCGTTTATTATGCTTCCTTTCAAGTCTTGGATGTCGTGCTGTTGCGTACTATAGTCTCCCTTTTCGTCCACTGCCACAGGATCTTATCATCCCGTTGGGTTTTTTTTACCAATATCCCTTGGATTTGCTGATGCAAAATTTGTCAACTGGGATTGATATTTTAGCCCTCCTCTATTGTTCGTTTCGTGATCGCAGAGTTTTTGACATCTGAGCCTTTTTAATTCCAGACAAGTATGCTTGGTTTTAAATTTCAATTTTTCTTTTTTACGTTTTATAATGTTATCGTGTATATTTATTTCCATAACAAAATAGGATGCCTTGGATTGGTGATCCGTCTATTATGATAGACCGCTTTGATGTACGTGCTAGTCTGGAACATTATGACACTCGAGCAGCTGACGATATCAAGTATGCTTCTCATCTGTTAGATCTGTAATGGTTTACATTTAGACTGACTTCAACAGAACGAATCGAATCTCGACTATGTAACTACGAACGTTATCGATGCCTTATTCACAATGAATATGCATCAGGTATGTATGGGTAGATTTTCTATATCCCTTTCGCATTGTGTTTTATCTTATAGCATCTTTTTCAATTTTTGTGTCAATAAATATGCATGGCGTTAGTTGTTCAAAGATTATATGTTTACAAATGTACATAGTGCCCACTTAGGTTCCTCAACATTTTAAAATACCTGAAAATTTGAGTGTGCATCAGATCCTTATAAAGTCCTACTTCTAGATACATTTTTCGTACAATATTACTGTTATCTACATCTGGAATGTTGATTTTAGATACAGTTAATGAGATATCAGATGAAAAAAATTGTCGATCATAAATTTGCTAACTGTTCCAAAAGTACTTATTGCTTTGGTTAGAATTTGGTATCAAGTAATGCTTCTTCCCAAAATATTATTCACATTCATTTTCGCCAACCTACTCATCATATCCTGTATTTCTCTGTGATACACAAAATGCATTGTGTCTGTACAAACACAATTCTGTGTAAGACCCGTCATATTGGGCGAACAATAAAACAGTTGTATCAACGCATATAATAACACTATCTGGTACATTTCTCAAACGTATTATATGGCTTCAATCCCAAATCGTGGTTTATTTCCATCGTTATGGTTTAGTTTACCTTACAAGGGTCACACATCTTATACAAAAAAAACTATATGCAAAAATTCGTCAATATTTGATTGAATAGTTTCACAGAAATTAAGCGCTAAGTATATAAACATTTGTAAAAATGATATTTAAAATAATATCAGTGAAAAGAAATAAAAAATTTCAACGTTTCGCTTGGCAATCTTGTCTCGACTTAGTCAGTGTCAATAGCAAAATTATTAACGAATATTTAACGCTCAAGAAACAGACCAATAAAAGCTTATTTAGTCAGAAGAAATGTTGATTTTGTTAAGTGAGAAAATATGTATCAACAAGATCTGAAAAGTTCCCAATGTGAAGAAAAATGAATGTTTATGTATCTTTGTGTAGTGAATAATTAAAATTCGATCGATAAATGGCGTATCCATTTACTATTAATCATCTTTGTTTATTAAAAATAATAGTACAAATTGAAAAATCTTTTAAAATATCAAAATATGTGCTGCATGCGAAACTTCAAATACATAATTGTGATGTTAAGGCATTTAAATTAGTTATTTGTCGGAATCGAGTTACATATGACATGAACAGAGTGAATAACTTATTCATCAATCACTTGAAAAGTGATAACTAATTCAGTCCAGTCTTTTCAATGCGAACTGCTCTGATCAGCCTACATTTGTAGCACTTTTCCTTAGCTATCGATTTTAATCCACTGGTTATCAAACCTATTTTAAATCAAAATGGCAAGCTATCGTCGATTATTCTAATAATCGAGAGATATTATTTGTAAATGTGGAGCCTAATGAATGTTTTACCGGTTACTAAACTTTTCTTTTAATCCAATCAATTGTTTACTCAAGTGATCTCTGTTATGGCTTACCATTTTGATTTGTTATGACTATTGTTGGATTTAAGATAACAGGTGAAATGTTGATTGATTAACCGAATCAGTTATACGAAAGAAGTACAATGTGGCCTGGTAATAGTTACTCATGAGACAATCTACTGACTTACTATATTTACTGATAATCTTCACTTGAATATCATTAGAAAACGGGCCTGGCTGTTATGACGTTTAGTGTCTGAGATCTGATTATAGTATGCAGCGTGCTACACGTTAACTTCCCTGACGACTACTTAGCGAAAAGACAAAGGCTAAGGAGGTCTTTTGGACTGCCCAATTACAAGCGTAATTCCAAAACCAATGGTGCATATTTGTTCCAGGATCTTGAGGAAAAAAGTGGCGTATGAATCTATTTCTTGTCAACAACTACCACAACGCCATCTCTCTTAACGTTTCTCCACTGAACCTCAAGGTTAGAGGTTCGGGCATCTGAGTAGTATTCTACCCCACACAAATTCAATAATTTATATGGTACATATATATTTTGGTACCTCTTTATACCACTGTTTATGAATTTTTATAGATGAATAAAATGAACATTTATATATACACCTTTCCAATCCCTTGGGAAATCAATCCATTTCTTAGCGAATGGTCTGTATTTGTTCTTTAAAGCATATCCTATCCGCGACCTTATTTAGGCACTTCTGACTCGCTCACTATATCACTAACAGTTGTGAAAATGTCTTACCATTTTCTTTTAAAATATAACAATGCATGAGACAAAATAAAAATGTTTTGATGTAACAGAGTATTGCATAATAACTTAACTATGTCTAAAGTTTATTAAGAATCCAATACATTGTGCAAACAAAGCACATTGATTGTTTGTAACAATTTTTATTAGAATCTTGTACAGTTCAATGTATTCCCTTCTGCAACCACAATAAATCATTGATTCCTATTCACAGAAAAACATTACTTCTTTCTTATAAACAATCGGTGCACAGATTAGTGCATACAAGATATTAGGAATGATCAATATCTAAGTCAATGCATTCTGTCTCATGTGTATGTTCACTACTCACCAGCTTTTCATGGAAAATCGGTTTTACTGTTTGTTTTTTCTGTTGTCCTAAGTCACCGAAGCAATGGCTTTGAAGCAAATTGAAATGGATGAAAAGTATGGAGATTTGGAAAAGCGACGTAAAGAGGAAGAAGAGGTTGCTGTCAAAAAGTAGGGTGTTCATAAAATCTCATTTTTAATTACTTTTATTACCTAGTTCATTAGTTTTTTCAAAGCTTGAATTATTTCAATAAGATTCTGGAAAGAATACAATTCATTTATCAAGTACACGTTAATTTATTTGGCTTTTTGAGCCATCTTGTTTGTATGACGGTAAGTGATACCACCAGATTAGCTAAACCAAAATATGTGGAATAAGGTTTGTATCTGTAACCTAATGGTGTTTAAACCATCTCATTATGATAAATCAATAAAAAATTTAAAGGAAGTACATAGAAGTATGGTTCATGACTCCTGAAATAGTGTATAACGGGTACGTATGTTTACAAGTACGGAATTTTAGTTAGTTTAGCCCTTTAATAAACCTTTCCGTCGTATAGTATATGATGACCTAGAAACGTTTTTTAGAACATCTCTGCCTTTATTTACGCACACAAATTCTGATCTAGTTATTTCTCAGTATGTCAAAAGGTTTACCGTGAAAAAGATGTGTGGATAAAGTGGGTAGTTTTTATCTGACTGAATAATATATGTATTAATTTGTTTACAAAAGAATAATAACACGTGTTTAGTTATGAAGATCTCTTTATCTTTCTCTTTACATTGATAAATTTCTTTAATATCACAGATCTTATAATAATTAGCAGAGGTAGGATAGTGATCTAAAAAGTGTTCACCAAGCATACTTATCACACTTTTCCACACATACACAGACACGTCTAAAAATGAGTCTTGCATGTTTGTTGACAGACAGCTATGCGTAAATATGATCGTTTAATGAAGGTGTAAGAAGTGTAAGAAGTAGTGCATTACTTCCTTACTCATGATAAGAAAAAGAAGGATTATTAATCTAGATACAGACTTAACACAATATCATTATTGAGGATATTTACTATCGTACTGTGATGAATTTTTTCCCTCATATTGATCATAAGCTTCATTGAAAAGGATTCAATCAAGATCTATGTGAAAATATGAAAGCTTTAATTTTTCCATATTGTACGATTTGAGTTTTTCAAGAGATAATTCATTTTGTCTTTGCAATATGCCATTGAATTTGTTTTGAGAAACTGTAAGTAGTTCGTACAAATCCACTGTACGCATAAAAGTATTCTGGTTGTTTTATCAACCAATTTTGAGATTGTCGATTAGTGTTTTCTTTTTATAAAGCAATTATATATAAGATATTCTAGATTCTACATTGATTATAAACATCATTCCTCTTCGCATTGTCATTCACATGAAATTCCAATGTTTGTCAAGAGTTAATAGCATCGACACATGTAGCTCAGTTTATAATCAAGTTTCAGTTTGTATATTACAGTGTTATACAGTTTCTATTTTGCATAATAATTCACCAATATTGAATGACTGGATTTTCTATACTTTCAATTGTTTCACAATCCAGAACTCAAGAACCAAAAGCTGCTATTGGATTTGTTTATGATGATAGTACGTGTTTTTCTGAATCGTCCACAACAAATACCCAACCTTCTGCACCTCAAAATGATAGTGATTCTGATGATGAAGCAGATAGTGACATGGATATTGGTATGTTTTTTGTTATTATATTCGATCCCATCGATGAAAATAATATATATTAGGCTTTTAATTATCACTATAGATGTTGACAATATAACTGTTCTGTTTTTTTTTTCTAGTGTTTCAATATTTTATGTTCTATCTATTACTTCTCTGACAACTTCTCCGTAGGTTTTATTTTATTTTGAGTTAAATGAATAATTATTAGTACAAATAAGTACCGAAATATTTATACACCACATAATTCATTGTTTGTGGGATGAGATGCAGTTGGTTTTCTCATGAGGTCAATCCCTGAGCCTTTGACATAGAAGTGTAATCCACGAGACAGTAATGTAAAGTCAGAAGATGCAGTCCTATGGTAGCCGATGTTCAACAATAGGTTCATACGCCATTTTCCCCTCAGGACACTGAGGCCTATTTACACTATTGGTTTGGAATCAGAGTTTTCCAAATCCCTTAGGTGGCTTCTCAGTGCCAACAATCCGGTTTGAGCGCTAGATATTCGCTTTTTGTCCTCTCAGTTTTGTATACAACTCCCTTGTCGCGAGAAATCAGTTAGTCGAACTTCCATGGTAGTGGCTATATACGCGTGACCATATGAGAGCATTTGGTGAAGAAAAGCGAACTCATCCCATTGTCGGCCGTACTGTGGGGTTCGGGAGAAATATCAATGGTGGTAGGAAAGGGTTAAACATGGAGAGGATTTATCGAATAGAAAACAAAAACAGTTTTAGAACGTAAGATCTGAAGAGTGATAGGGTGAATAGATCTACAACAGTGCAACCTATTCCTTCTTATGTAAACTAGCGTTTACACCCATTGTTTAAGATAACCACATAGATCTTAAAACGGGTAGTCTGCACTTACCAACATGACTCAGAAAAACTGTTAATAACCTCATAGACTGATGCCACTTGTTGTTTTGGTCATCTCTAGCTTAATTCCTGTACTAGCAAGCATTACTGGTTAGGGTAAGCGAAATAATATGACGTCAATTCTCGTAGGATTTGATCAATGCTTGTCATAGAATTTTTGGACATACATCACTTGCACACTTTTCATAGCCAAAGAATTATATTTATGCGTTGATTCCATTATTCCGATTATTGGAAATCTCATCCATACATTCAAGAGTTTTATCCCTGAGGTGAATTTTTCATTAAAACTAACTAATCTCCTTTTTTTATAAATTCAATTGTATTGAAAGGATTCTAATTTATTTCTTTCGTATGCTGAGACACATTTCAGGATGTTTTTCAATGTTTCCTTCTTCTAGATGTTGAATTAGATGTTAGCACACTAACAACCGAGGCTCGCCGTCAATTGGCCAAATCAGCTGCTACATACGGTTTGCATCCATCCGATTTTGTACGACTTTTGGATGCTGACCAACAATTGGAGACTGAATTACGGTTAGCTAAAGCTTTGGAAGAGGAAAAATTGCAATTATCTGTAAGTCTTCATGTTGTAAATTGATGAGTTTATGGAAGACGAAAACAATGGAAACTACTGTTGTATCCATCTCTGTCTAAACTAGTGGTTCATTTAAATTTACTCTTAATTTTTAACATATCCGTTGTAGGTTTCAACTTCGCTTAGTTTTATTTGCTCAGTTATAGATCGTCACTAATCTCTATACGCAAAGTGTGTGGTTTTAGAGCTAAATGAATGAATCTTTACTTTTTATTAACTGATGTAACTTGACAGTAGAGTGAATTTTTATTCAATGTTAGATGATCCAAGTTTATTCATGATGGTTAACATTCAATCTCAAGGCGTATATCCAACCTTATGAAGGAATAGTCATCTCAGAGATTCACTACTGTTTCACTTAATAATTCAGTTACAGACAGATGTTACCAAAAAAAAATGTTTCGCCTGCGAAAGTAAAGAATACTAAATGTATACTGTATGCTTGAAAAATTTTTGTAAACCAAAGCTGAAATACTCTCGTATTCATTCAACAAACATTTGAGTAAATATTAAACGTGTACTTCATCTGTGTGTAAGAGAATCTCATTCGTATTTTTCTGTTACACTAGTACACTATGTGTGTTTAATCACAATTAGCTTATTATTGTAACGATTGGGTTTAAATGCTTGAATATATAAAAATCTTTTTGTCTTTTATTGTACACACAGGGTCGTAGATCTAGACGTTCTAGACGTTTATTAAGAGAACGTCGAGCTCAAGAGAAATTTCCACGGTTGCTGACCACAAAGTGCGTGAGTAACTAACTATTAGTACTTATATAGATAAGTATCTACTGTAGATATATTCATTTTATTATCTATACTAACAGAATTGACATTGGTCTGTGTGGAACAATACTCTACATCTTGTCAAAATGCTAATACGTATGTATTATCCTTCAACAACAAAAAAAAACTTTATAAAATTGAACAGTTTTGAGAATGATAAATGATGTTTGAATTTTCATTCCTATCCCCAAAAGGTGTATAAGTTGTACTTTTTATAACTGATTAAATTAAATGTCTTGATTGTTGAAAGTAAACAAATAATTTAAGGTTTAATCGTGTTCTATTGAGTTAGATTAGTAGTGTTTAGTGATTTGCTTTATGATACAGTACAATAAAACATTGTATTTAGTGTTCTATACTTAAAGAAAATTATTAACGCTTCAGTTAGATATACTATAAATTATTCTGAATATTATATCTCAAATAGCTAGTCAATGTTACAAAACTACGTGACAGCATCGCTTTAGTTTTGTCAATGAACAAAGGTATCCTCGTACGTAATATTTGATTGCAAAGGTTTAGGTAAAATGGTCGAAAATCGATTACAGTTTCTCGATTGTTTTCGTTCTTTTTAACTGTCTTTATTTAACCACTGAGCCTAGTTTCGTTTTTTGCTTTTTACTCTTCAGTCTCATTTGTTCTTATTGAACTAATATTTATTTTGTTTATCTTTTTACTTTATCTGATATTTTCCTGATTCTTTGCTTTCTACCTTGTTATTTTCTTCACTAACAATCTTTATTACTTACGTGAGTTTGAATCTTCTACTCGGGCATCTAAACTGAGATAGGTGGTTTTCCTAAGGGATATCCCTCAAGGGCTTCAACCTAAAGTTATCGGAAATACATTAGTGGATGCAATCTCATGTTGGTCAGTGACCAGTGTAGTTTTATATTCTATTTGTTATCTTAGGATCCTGGAGCTTGTACGCACCGCTGATAAGATGAACCGTGCACGTCCTAGAAGTGCAACTCACTTTAACCTTAGGTGAATAGAATTTATAAATTTTTACGAATTTCGGTGTATTGATAGTTTAACTCTTAGCTGGTTTATCGAATAAAAATCAGTCAGTCAGTCAGACAGTTACAACGTAGAAATTCGTACGTATATCGAACAAAAGAGAATTCCATTACAGTGTACTTACTATTTAATACTGAGTTTAAAAAAAAATACTTTCTTGGAATGACAATTATTTAAAATCTATTCTAGTTATTGATTATATTTTTGTTGTTTTGATATTTGAATGTGAAAAAAATAGGATTGGTCTTTTGAATGGACAACCAATATCCAGGTAAGTATTTGTTTTGTTCTTCTTCATAAAGATCAAACATTTTTCTTGTATATTATTTGAATCAGTATATCTATACGATAGTAGCTGATTGTTTGCTCTTATTCTCTAGAGCGATGCCTTATTGGTTAATGCGTTCAACTTCCAGCTAGCTACTTAGTCGCAGGTTCAAACAGGGCTTTCAGTTTAGGCAACGCAAGGATATTGCTAGCTTTCACACTTGGAGTGTAGCTTTAAGCTAAATACATAAATGTGTACCCTGTAAATGAGCTGATAATTTATTTATTTAACGGAGCTTCGACTTTGTAGTAAAATCGTTCGGTTTCTAACTACTGATCGCAAGTTCCAATCTCGGTACACTTACTCTCTAGTTCAGGCAATCGATAACATTGTAAGCCGTGTACGCAAATCCTCACTTCGTAAATGAATTTTTCGATAACATAAACAGATCTCCTCCGACGAGTTACACTCATAGCTTGAAGACTTTGTTGTACATGGTTTTTTTCCAAACATAGTTCTCATTCTGTTGCATTAATCCCTCAGTCAACCAACTGATGACATAGTAAATGTCTTCAAAGCAAGCATTGATCAGATATGTTCGGAAACTGAATTTAAGTATAACTCACTAAATAAGAAGAGTTAAACAATCGATGAGACTGTTTAAATATCATGCAACCTGTACTAAGAAGTTGGCAAACTTCAAATAATTGTCTATGATCTGAAAACCTAATTTTAACTTACTGAAGTTCATATATACATGATAACTTTTGTTCGTAAATGTAAGTTTACCTTCTAAAATCTCTTAACTGGAAAAAAATTATCTGTTGCGCGAGTATTGGATTCAATTCATTGAAAAAGCCGCAACAAATTAGAAGTGCTCATCCAGGCTATCGTCTGCTAGTAATTCTTATTAATTCCATCTAAAACATCATCATTATCAAGTCCTGATATCTCCCGACTGGTCTTCTCAGACAGACGAGACGTAGGTATCTCTGCGAATATAATGAAATGATTTGTTTTTACATTTTGAATGAAATAGTAGATTCTGGCTGATTGAATGCGAGACGCTAATATGAGATTGGGAAACAATTCGAACAAACTCTAGAAGAAAAAAAATAAGAGTTGTCATTTTCGAAGCTGGTTGAGATTGTAGGGATATCTGTGACGGTGGCTGACGTCACCGCTATAATAGACCGGTGATTCGGTAATCAAATCACGTTTCATATTTCCTTAAAATGTTTTTTAAAATGGTCTCTTTTTCGACCGTTTTTATGCTTATTTCTAAGTGATCTCTCCAGCCTCTCTCTGTCCTAGTATCCATTCTGTAGTTACGTAGTAATAAAATTAAACTTTCAAATTCATACTCTTTTATTTTTAGACGAACTGTCTACTTATCTGCTAGTTCGTCAGATTCTGGCGATTATCCATCGGATGTCGAAGATCAAGATTTTTCAGGTATTGTATACGGAAGTCCTACTTCAAAAGCAGCCACTATTCGTGCTCAGAGAGCTCGTGCAAAACCGATTCTTTCGAATGCTCGTGGACCTGCTGTTCTTATTGGTGGGATGACATCTATAAGTTTATGTCGTCGGAACAATAAACAATCGGGTCGCAGTTTTGGTTCAAAACATCGTTCTACACCTGGTCGTAGTTCAAGCAGTAGCGGAGGAAGCGTCCGAGGTCACCGTTCCAGTTCATCTGATGTGTGTTTAGTGACGTATTATTTACTTGAAAGCAATTTCTTTTCTCAATCAATAAATAACAAATGCAATGTGAATGTAGTCATTTACTTCTGATCTTTCCACTTATACTATTGTAGATTAAACTGAGTAAAATTACGACTCATTTTCATAAGTCCACTGATCACAAGTTTGAATAAAATCTCACCTCTGGGTTATGAAAGTTTGAATGTGAAAGAGCCTTAGTTCCCTGACATGTGTCAAAAAGTCAGACAGAATTATTAAATACTGTTTTTAATATAATTTGAACATGTAGCAAACATGTCTTCTACTTTTAGTGATACTCAAGCTGCCAACTTACATGTTGTCATTCATTTCAAATGGACGACAGTAAGCTATACGTTGTGTTTTTGTCTTATCCGACTTAATTTAAAACCTAATATATTTACCTTCAAAGAAGCTAACCACATAGAAAAATAATTTTAATTGAAAAACCACACTGGTCATGAGATGGTGATAACCTAACCAGTTTATTTTGTTTTAGATGCCCTGATACGATCGAGTCTGGAGAAAGTCCCCCCTCTTGAAATGCTCTCATGCGTATGTAGCCATTATTAGGGAAGTCCGACTCACTGCTTTCTCGCGACAAGGGAGTTGTATACAAAACTGAGAGGACAAAATGCAAATATCTAGCGCTCAAACCGAATCGTTGGCACTGAGTAGCCACCTAAGGGATTTGGAAAACTCTGATTCCAAACCAATAGTGTAAATAGGCCTCAGTGTCCTGAGGGGACAAATGGCGTATGAACCTATTGTTGAACATCGGCTACCATAGGACTGCATCTTCTGACTTTACATTACTGTCTCGTGGATTACACTTCTATGTCAAAAGCTCGGGGAGTGACCTCATGAGAAAACCACCTGCTTCCTTTTGAGTATATCCGGGCTGCATCTCATCCCACAAACAATAAATTATGTGGTGTATAAATATTTGGATGCTCCTTTGTTTATGTCTACATAAAATAACGAAATATATTATTAATCATTAGTCATATTGAGTGACGTCAAATGTGTTTATTTCTGTTAGTTTTATGGACATAATTATTGTTTAGATATCTAGATATTCATTCTGCCTTGCCTTTTAATTCAATTTAGCTATAACTTGCACTTAGAACGAAAATTCAAATGAGTAGCAATATTTATTTATCAAACCGAATGAATTAGGACATTAATCGTTTGTAAATATGTATACGATTGTCCGTCTGATCCAGACAAGGTGTAGTCTTAATCTCTAACTAAATAGTGTACAACCGACTTCTTTCGATAGCGTGCCCCATTTACAATATCTCACCCGTCGTCTAACCTTGAGCTAGCAAATGGACGCAAGTTATGTAATATGTATAATACTCGTCTAGTCTATCACTTTTGGCTTCAGTTGTAATGAAGGGACATCACGTTATTTATCCTGTACGTTGTACATAACAAGCGGAATCCTAGTATACTAATGTTTTAGATATCGTATTTTATTTTTATAGCGATCTTACTCTAATCGAAGATCACGTGGTGGATTTCGTCGCCCCAAACACTCTCGTGTAGAATATATTACTACATTTGGTGATGATGAAGACAATTTTGATGATAAGCGAAATAATGGTGGGAGTTCACGATTTGGTTCAAATAAACAAACAGGATTATTTGATCGAAGTGGAGGTGGTTTATCAGGTCCATTCGATTCTAAACCTCCTGGATCTGCTGCGTCTGCTGTCGCAGCTTCGGTTGTTTCCAAGCTACTTAGCTCAGGATCGCAATCATCAACAGTTAAGGGTAGAAGTAGTTTTGTCAATTCCTCTAGTCCAAAATCCATCAAAACTGAATCTCGTGTACGGTAAGTTTATTGTTGTCATAAGTGAAGTTAATGTGGGACAGTCTTTAATAATCAGTAGTAATCTTGCTTCCGACCTACCTTTTTACACTAGTGTAAATACTTCAGTTGTTGTCACCCAGCAAATGCTACGCATAAACGAAGTATTAATACTATGAAGAAGAGGAAGAGGCATCTCCATTGGCTCTTATTCTAAACCATCCCTGACAACAACCACTAAGTTGCCCGATCTTTAGGACCCCAAAAGTGGGAGTCTTGATAAACTGATAGTTACTGGTGCCATATACCTATCTCTCATACTACAACATCATGTGGTAGACTGACTATCTTTTCACTTTTTTCACAAAATCTGAAGGCGGACAAATAGTGTGGTATAGAAGCCGCTAGGATTAAAGTCTGTTTCAAAATAATGTGATTAATTGAATTGTTGTCACTCCGCTCAGACGTACTCATGAACCAAACTTTTTATCTAACAAATAAATTATTTCAGTTATGTCATAAACAACTTTGTGTTTTGTCTACGACATTAATTCTTGACTGATTCATACCAAATCTGTTTTTTTAGTTCGCCTCCTAGTTTTAGTGATCGAAGAAAACCTCTACACCCAAGAAGTCGCTACCGCCGTTCCACCTCTCAATCTCGATCTAGTAGTCGGCGATCGCAAAGTTCTCGTGGTAGCAGGAGCCGTAGGAGATACCATAGTCGAACGCGGAATAGTAGCAGTAGCAGAAGTCGTCGAGGTTCCTACAGGAGGTACAGACGTAGTCCGGACCGTTATCGCTCAAGACGCAGATCCTCTTCATCGAGAAGATCGCGCTCTGATTCTAGTACTTCAACAGATAATCGAAAATCTAACTATGATCGGTTAGTTCGGTCTTCACTGTTATGTTATAAAAGTGTCTTTTCAGTTCAGAACTATAATTTTTATCGATTTGTGTTATCCATCTCTTAAGTTTAATGTTGATATAGTCTCATTTATACACGATATATGAAGTGGTGTATGACTACTCCAACTATCAACTTTTTAGTGTATGTATACTTAACATACAGATTAATACATGGTCATATAATTTATAAATCAATGGACAGTTGTGTTGTAGGATATTGTGGAGATTGTTGAATTCCACGATTTACACCAGTGACTTTAGGTAGTAAGTTCGATGCTTGGGTAGGTCATGAATGCACACTGCTGATGAGTCTATTGCTTGTACAACGAAACAGTTGTTTGATGCTTCCTGGTTTTCAGTAGTTGTTGTTCGTGATGTGAAGCTTCAAAGGACTGTTATATACTGATAGCATTATTGTCATGTTTTGTAGAATGACCGAGGGATTAATGTTAAGGTACGTGGTGAATCGGTCAATCAGTTACAACGTAGAACTTCGTATGTACGTACATCATTTCAAGTTGTTATACCAAATTAGAACAGAAAGACGGAACTGTCCGTTCAAGTCCCATAGTAGTAAATGTGTTAGCGGTAATCCAGAAGATTAGGGTTCGAAGATATGATTCGAGAAGTATATCCCAGTGAGGTAAATTTCAAAACAGAAAAACCGGTCATGAGGAATTTACAAGATTAGAATATGAGAGAACACAAAGAGTGTATGCATCTGTGCCACTGCAAACGATTTTGAGCCATGTCAGTCAAAGTCTATAACCATCGGTTACTATTGTTTCGCGGACCCCAATCAGGTAGTTTAGACCTGTTAATATGGCTCAGTTCAGTTGTCAATAACGTCATGGATTTGTGTTATGTTTTGGTTTGGCCGCCCCTATCTTTTCCTACATCAGACAACATCGCTCATCGAAGCAGTTGGTGGTTGGGTATACGTAACATGTCCCAACCACCTCAACTGATTGAAATTCACTACTTCACTTGATCTGCCATTCCAAACAACAGCATTACTAACTCGGTGGTCCTAGAACATACGAGCAATGCTTCTGTGATACCGATGGTCACATACGAGTAACCTGAGAATATCTTCTCTTCTTAGCGGCTGTCTCACGCCCATAGAGTAAGATGGAGCGAACTGCTGCGCAGTAAACTCGTCCTTTGGTTAGTAGACGGATATCTCGCCTACGCCATAAGTGACACAAATTAGCGATAGTCAGTCGAGACTTTTGTATCCGTGCTGCGATCTCGTCACACACCACCCCATCAGCACTGATGAGACCCCCAAAACAACTGAGTGGTCAACACACTCATCAATCCCACTCTCTATCATTAGTTCCGGTGCCGACTCAACCCGATCCTGAAACAACATTTTGTACCTCGAGGCGATCATGTTTTCATAGCTGCTTAAGATGTCCAGAAGACTGCATTTTGTCAGCTTTTTCACCAAATAGAACTATATCATCTTCATATTTCAAGTCAACAAACGAAGTTCCAGGTAGAAGGTCAACTTCTGAAACGTCAGACGATGGAAGTGTCATCTCTAAAAGCATATGAGCGACCGAGTAAAATACAAATAAGGAAAGTTGACAGCCCTGACGAACACTACTTGAAGTAATCAGGTCCGATAACAGTTCGCCATAAGCTCTCACTCGACCAGTAGTGTTCGAGTAGAGACTGTGTATAAGGTTACTGTAATTCTTTAGTACTCCTTTCAATGACAGACACTACCACAGAACCTCACGATCAACAGAGTCAAGTACCTCCTTAAGGTCCAGTAATAGAACTATTGTTGGACGTCTGAATTTGTCTATGTTCTAGGACCTGACAAATGTGGATGTCTGGTCTATGCATCCATGTGCTGGTTTGAAACCACCCTGTTTTTTATCGAATCTGCTCTTCACGAGCGCCAGTTTTGTGTCAAAGTATTATCGAGGCTAATAATTTAGACACTATATTAGTTAAACTGATTCCTCTGTGACTGTCACAAGAGGACTTTTGTCCTTTCTTATAAATTGGGACATTCAGTGATTGAGACCAGTCGAATGGGATTACGTGCATTTCCCAGAATCTTTCTAAGATCTCAGTCAATCCTACTTCTAAAACTGTACCACCATCCTCAAAAATCTCAGGGGTAAATCTATCAGAGCCTGCTGTTCTCCCTAGCTTTAGATTTTCTATAGCTTTCTCAACTTCATTAACAGTTGGAGGATTTGCCATTCAGGTTGACTGTCGATCGTGTGTAACGGAAGTGTGGCTGATGGTCAGCTCAACTGCTCCTTAAAGTGATAATGGAATATGAAAATGGTTAGTTGTGGCGATAAGAGAGTTATTAAGAGGTGTAGGAGAGATTCGTTTGTGACCAATTTGTTTCGGTGTGTTATTATGGGTATAAAGGCAGATGTCGCTTTCCGGCTTCCCACACCGTGGAAGAGTATTTCTTGAGGAATCTGAAAGGAAGGTAGATTAGCGTTGGTCTTAGAGACCTGGGAGTGTGGCCGCAGAGCCCAAGGAACAACTGCTTGAGGCCGGTCATGCACGGCCTTTTTATGAGAAGTTTTCGAAGCGTTAGCTCCGTTCTTGTTTAAAAGACCTTACCGCCGGAGACGGAAATCCGTGAGGTAAAGTGAGGTGTGACATTTTTAGGGTCGACCTTTTCTAACCCCTTCCTTCCGTTGTGAGAAGGTAGCATCGCTGCAGATGCTAGTTGTTCGAGAGAAACACGTTACTGCTGTCGCACCCCTCTACAGTTAGCAGTATGCCTTCTCCCTCAAACCTTGAGTTACCGCTTTTAGTCTTGCCTTTCTTCAGTCGACCTGCCTGGCATGTTACGACCTCAAGGAACTTACGCTCCAGCCAATATAGCTCTGTTGGGTCATCACGATAGGCAAGCCTGACCACCACATCAAGGCAGCATCTACAGTCATTAAGGTTTTAGATCCTCGTCAACTGAGATGGTTTGGATGTGTTTAGTACGTTTAATCACCTACCTTGATGAGTGATGCTTGTCAGTGCAAAAGTAGGCTGAAATAATGTTATCTATACCAAAAAAAGATATGCCATCAATCCATAAAGTCATTTACTTTTGGTGTTTTCCATATAGACAGACGCACGTCACGTGTTTAGATTCCACTTAAAAACAGCAATCCATGGTTGAAAACATTGATCGACTATTGGGAATTCTTCGTAGTGATACAGATGCCATCAATGTTTAGTTTGTCATCAATCTTAACTCTGAGTATTGCTTCATACATACCATTCGACTAATTCTTTTAGAATCATAAGTCTACAATTTGATATTTCCTTTGAATATGATTACTTGTTTTGATGTGTTTTATGATATTTACCTTGTTGTGCTAAAGTGAACGTGCCAACTCGGATAACGAGACATGTGTCATACCCTATTGTTTTATCGTCTTTTATAGTGTTCAAAACTTGAGAAGCCTTTTCCATTTCATAATTTTGTATAGATTTATTTAGAAAGTATCGTTTTTATTTATTTGATTGTTGCAAGACAGAGTTATGGATATTGTTAAGTTTCATTGAAATAATGAATCGATCATTATTAGACCACCAGTAGAAACCTGGAAACACTAATTATTCTTTGTTATCTCAACGTTCAAAATTCTATTATTTGTTTCATTTTAATTTCCTATCACCTAAGTTATTGGAAGAGAAGGACAGATAGGTGTTTATTGTCATTCGAAGTGATATCTTTGGTGCAAACTTCCAAATTGATATGCTTGAAACTATTGCGATTTCATATTACTTGGTAAACGGAATGAAGATCAACGATGCAGTGACACGATAGGCTATTCTAATCCAATTGTCCCGGGCCCTGTTAACTAGAGCAAGAAGTCTTGAAAAGGAATAGAGAATGTATTCTACAAGCACCCAGAAAGTATGAGGTTGCTAAGCATACAAATCAAGCTTATTTATACAATGATAGAAACGCCCTTGGGAGAGCCACAAAATAGCGTACTAAAATAATCCGTCAACCAATGACAGCCAGGGATTCTCCGAGTGGGAAATGTAGGTTGATGGTCGTCTATGCGTCTCTGGCGCAAAAACATAAAAATTCAAAATTTCAGGATAAAAAAAACCAAAATTAGAGTCTTTTCTGTGTGAGTTCTGGAGATCTAACGTCTCCAACACAAAGTCATCCAACTACTATTACTATTATTTTGTCATATTCACCCTATATCTGTAAATCTTCAAAAAAGAATCATCTTATTTTTATAGCTTGGATGACGGACTGACCATAATTAAAAAGCCATTGAAAACCAGGAAGCACTGAATACCTATTTCCTCCTAGTAGGAGTTTTAGCGGTGTGTATTCGTGAATCCAATACCTACTGACCTTGCTGTAAAATCGCTTAACCTTTAGAATTTTAACCAGCATCAATAGTTTATATGTCCAGTTTCAATAAATATATAATATTTCATAAACAACTTCCTATGCCTCTGAGCCTCTCTAAATAAGTTACTATAAACTACTATAAACTGTACCTTGCAACAAGAATAATGGCAATAACAATAACAGTAGAAATGTAATACTTATCTTCATTTTAGCTCATATTTATTTGTCTTCACCCTGTTAAAATAGAGTTAGTACGAATCCTTCTACGAGATCCTTCAATCAAAATGTACTACATGAATCAAACACTGTTGTTCAATCGAATGCCCAAAAACAACCTTCACCTCCAATACGCAAGCGATATTATCGTCCTGAATTAGAATCTGCCGATGAATTGGAATTGTCAGATGAAGAGCAAAATAATTCAAAAAAAGAATCATCCAAATCTTCTGACGGCAATTCCGGAAAGCCATCAAGGTAAGTCTTATTCGTGAAGTATGTATTTGCAAGTGTCTACGTTGATTCGGAATAATTAGTTGTTTCTCGTGCCGAAATGTTTTAGCTAAAGTTTTCATCCTACTTATAAGTAGTTCGATTATTTAATTAACAAACATGCAATCATTCACCGAAGCCATCTATCCACTTTTAGATAACTTTTAAAAATTAGTTTTGTTTTACAAAACCAGGTACCGCGTAAATCAATTTTGAAAGCTTTTTCACTCAAGGAATCGAGCCTAAATATCATGCTCACAATGCATGTATGATTTTAACAACGCATTGATGAAATCACGTGTTTTCTACACCCAATCTAAAGAAACCTGGTTTAATCGAATCTCCATTGTGTTATGGACACTTCTTGTATTCCCTGAAATACATAGATAGGTTTTATAAAGTTTCTGTTTAATTATTATAGCGGTATATATGTAAAATATTGATTTTGACAAATAGTGCTATCCAGGACACATGTTCAATCCTTTTTTGAACTTGTCAGCTGGTTGTACCTGTGTATCCCTAGTATGGACATCCATTTGGCGGTTATAATGGTTTAGATTATTTGTTTGTTAGTTTTTTGCACAACAAAACTGTCACCATTGTTCAACTGGACATTTTCTGCAAATTCTTTGGAATGATGTTATATCTTCTGAAGATATGTGGGATAAATTTTTTTTAAATTGCAAATTATCTTTTCGAATTTGTCAGTTATCGTAAAAAAAATGTATTTGTATGTGTTAATGGTTTAACATCTAAATAAAATCAAATATTGTAATGATGTTTCGTTCTCTGAGCTCAGAGAGCTCATCCACCTGAGCTACAAGTTTTCTCCATCATCTCAAATATTGTAACTTTGATGAATGATCTAAGCTGGATGAATGATGAATGACTTTCTTTCTTATTGAGAACTGTAAGATTTAATAAATGTCTATTTAGTTTGGAATTTTTCAACTTCTACAGGAATATTAGTAATGTTATTTTTATCTGTGTAGTTCAAATGCTTTTTAACTGGATTTTTAAGGATTTACTTTTCTATTCATTGGAAATACTATGTTACATTTGATAAATGTTAAAATAGTTATTTCTCATCATTCTATAGAATAACATTTCAATGATTTACAGTTGCATGATTTCTAATTGTTAAGTGTTATTGGATTATGAACAAAAGTCAAATATCATAACACCTAGGTATGGATCCATAGGTAAGTTAATGAACCTGTATGTAGTACTACTCAATTAAAAGCTTCATGAACTGCGCTTTACATTTTCATTATTTTTAACAATTTCATTAGCTATCTTTAAAATATTTATGTGTTTTTGTATTTTTTTTTTGTTTCATTCTTATTTTTTTAAACAGAAAGTCGGATTCAAACTCTTATGGAAATTTCGCGGGTAAGATGACGTCCCAACAATTGGTCACGAACGGTCCTAGTTCAAGCCATGATTTAAAAGTCAGTTAATTTTCCTCACTTCGCAAACAACCAACTTTCTAACATTCTAACTTACCTAAACCTCATGGAACGGTTTACTTGGATACACATGCATGCAGTATATTATTTTCCAATATTATTGTAAACCAGTGATGTCAACGGTTAAAACACACTTCTTAGCTTTCAACTTGACAGGTTGCAGCTTTAAATTCTGTCTGTGCCGCCTACTTCGGTTTAGATAGTTGAGTTGTATTGCTAGGTTTTATTAAAATAATATTGTAACTGCTCTAAGTTGAATGCATAAGCTTGTACTTAGAAAACAACCGATCGATATATTAAGATATGATTAGTAATGCTCTATGAATAAATAGTACTTATTTGGGGTAGATCAACAAACCTTTTTTATGGTTTATTTCCATCTAAATACATCATATAAACAAATCATCCTAGTTCAGTAATTGTCGACTACCTGGTTGGGGTCCGCGAGATGATAATAATCGATGGTTAGAGACCTTGAATAATGACATGGCTCAAAATCGTTCGCAATGGCGCCTGTGCATTTATTCTTTGTGTTCTCTCAAATCCTAATCTTCTGGATTCTTCAACACCTCTAGTTGTGACTTTCTAAACTTTTCTCACTGAATCATACTTCTTGAATAATATCTTCTAATCCTAACCTCTCCGATTACTCCTAATACCTTTACTACCTCTTCTACTATTGGATTTGAATTGACAATTATATCTCTGTGTTGATGTGGTATGGCGACATGAACTGACGTACTTACGTACGAAGTTCTACGTTGCAACTGACTGACTTTCATTTTACATTGATCATGAAATTATTCTACTGAATGTAATCATATTCGATTTAAGAAGAAAAACAACTTGTTAGTGCATAAAATACTACCATCTCAAATGGGTTTTTTTTTCTTGTATCAGGGATGAACAATTCATTGGAGTTAATTGAATCAGTGGATTGTGCAAAACCTTAAGTTGATCTGAGTTAGACATGAACATCGATTGGAATAGTTGTTGATGAAAGCTCCTGAAACAGTTCACAGGAGAAAAAATAGTGCTATCTCTTATGCCATAGAGTTTTCTTTGATTCATAAAATTAATCGTCATTTTTATCATGCTATTTTTGTGCATTATAATTATCCTTCCTGTTTTTAAAAAAAAATTATTAATCAGTATGAAACATATTATCTTTTTAATGATACTCCATGCAAAAAAAATTCTAAAATTGATTCCTGTTTACAATCTTAACTTATCTCAAGTCTATCCATCTAAGCACTGTAATGGAAACTCTTATTGTCATAGTAAAACCGTAATTATTATTTTTTTCTTTCTCATTTGTTGTTTTAACTTTTTTTTTCTTAATTTTTTTTTCCATTTAGACTCCTGGCATTGGTGGTGGTGTTGGTGGTGGTTCAACAGTTCGTCCTCTTATGCCACAAGAATTATTGAAACGTCGTGTTCAATCACAATTAACTAAGGCTTGTAAGTTATTGATTTGATTTTTATTCATAATTTATATTATATGATTTACAATTTATAGAAACACTATATGTTATATTGGTAGAAAAAAAACTTAAACGATGTTACATAGATTACAATGTCGTGATAATAAATCCATTGTACTCTTAGACTGGATCTCGTAAACAATGTCAAAAGTTAAATTAGGAATACATAACTCATTGTTTTAAATTTTGTACAATTTTATTATTTTGGTCGCTAAACTATCGGATTAAGTGTTATTATACTAACTAACATGGCCGTTAAGAGTAGAAGATATACGTAGGTTACTAGTATTCGATCATAGATGTTTAAGAAGCATTGCTCGTATATCGTGGCACTATCGAGTAAGCAATGCTGTCGTTAGGGAACGAGTACTAGGTAAGGATGACAAATCAATAGATGAAGTAGTGAAACTTCGTCAGTTGAGGTGGTTGGGACATATCTTCAGAATGCCCAACTGCTGACTGCCTCGACGAGCTATGTTTTGTGGTGTAGGAGTAGGTTGGAAAAAAGCTAGGGGGCGGCCAAACCAAAACATGGCAGAAAACCATGAAGTCACTGACAAATGGACTGAGTCATGTTGGTAGATGTAGACTACCTGGTTGGGGTCCTCATCGCTGGCGAAAGGTTGCAGGTTACCAACTGTATACGGTTATCTGTTAGCCTCTACGGTCACGCTCCATCCAGTCGTTTCTTTATTTCATATTAATGAATTTATATCTCTATGCACATTGTTTCAGTGTCTCCGTATTTTACATCTGTTTAGTTTTTCTCTATGCCTTATATATTTATATGTATTGGTTTTCTGTGTGTCGATGAGCTCACTGGCTAAGACGTTCGACTTCCCACTACTATGCACCAAATGTCGACCCCACTCCACTTACTTAGGCTTTTAAATTTAAAACTATTTAGTATCGCTAGTCTGGCTCATACCCAAGTACTTAGTGAGTGAGTTGATTAAATTATAGTGAATAATAAATACAATTACCTGCCATTTAAAAATTTTTTGAGGGATTGTTTAAAATATGACTTCATGTGTTTATTTTCTACCTCCTACTTTAGCTCATTTAGTTGAGCTTTCTTTTCTTTATTTAGAATATTTTTTGATATCAAAAAATGGACTTAAGTTAAACATCTGTTGAAATTTAGGAAGCACTACTTGATAGCTGTTCCATTCTAGTTTGTAACGACTCCTTAACAATGCACATCCACCTACCAAACTTAGAACCTTTAGATTTTGGTATGCGCGCTCAACTCTTTAGACTACTAACCGGCTTCCAATAGTTTACCATGTCCAACTTGAATCAACCCACTCTATTGTCCAACCAATGTCTATTGTCTTCAATGGATTCATTACCTCACACTTGACGTCTGTGCACTCCACGCCTATTGAAACTAGTCACTGATGAGTAGTATATGATAATGAACAATAGTAGTAGAGGTTTGTGGAGGTGGTTGTTGAATGTAGCCGTAACATTAATAATAACACTCATTCATCTTTGCAAACCTTTCTACTGATAATTTATTAATAATTTTTATATTTCTTAATGATTAATTCTCTATCTAATTAATCTTTATTATATATAATAGGAGAAAATAAATTATATTTTTTATGTTAGTTTTACAAATTTTTCTTATGTGTATATAATCTAAATTTCGAATCTGTCTAAAGGTTAGACTTGACAAAAATTGACCTTTTTATCTAAAAAATATTAATGATAATAATATTTTATTGTTCTGGATGACAGTTTTTTCCTGTGAAAAAAAACAAACTCGGAACACATTTCGTTACAGTAGTATTTCCTAATGCCTTTTTCTTTTTAAATAAAAATAAAATTAGATTTAATGGCTATTTATTTGACTGAGTTTTGTTTCATGTTAATGTATCTTTTCAACTTTTTTATAATTAAATAACATTGTGTGCATGTTTGTGTTCGTGTGTAACTGATTCGATCTACCTGTGATGCTCTTGCTATATAACACACATCTTATGATAATCACTTCGCCTAATATTTTTGTTAGCAAAAAGCTAACCTGACAGAAATGAATAGATGTGTAATTCATATTCTGCTCATCTAATTGTATGAATAATTTGATTATAAGTTCCCAATCCAACATCAGTTTGTTCTGTTATGTCAAATATGGGTTGTAATTCCAATCGTTTGCATACATGTGGTTTGTGGAGATTGTTAAATTCCATCTCTTACATTGCTAACTGATCTTGGTTAGAAAACTGTTCAAAATTAGAAGACGTTTGAAAGCCATTTGGTCTTAGTATATATATGGGCAATTCAACGTCACACTTCCACTGTGGTGCGAACTACTTATAAGTAGTATATGACGTGAGTGTCAACGTAAAGTCTGGTAGCATAATATGGGGGAAAGATCAAGAAAGGAAGAGTTAGAAAACAATGGACTTTGTATGAAACGCATGAATAGTGACAATGGATTGATGTTTGGCAACAGGAACAGTCCAGTTCCATAGAATGAACTTATCTTTTGCAAATGAACGATTTACGATATGGTCTTCCAATTTTACTGAGTAACTCTGTAATTTTCGTTGAATACAATTCGGTTGCCCAACCTGTGTTCTCATTCACTACACCACGACCTTACTGACCATTAAACATGAAAGTCATGGGTTTGACCACTGGTGGTGGGGTTGTGAAAGCGGGCTGTTGAGTTTCCCATACCAAAACCGAATCGGTCATCATGTGTCCTCTATCTAGTCTTTAACGATTTTCTTTGATTCTATATTTTCCTTTTGTATGTAATCTCTATTAACAATTCAAATGATGTGATTGTTTGGTAACATGTGTTACAAATGCAACTATTCGTCTTTACAAATGGAATGTATTGACATTAAATTGGTCATAGCTTTTTTTTTTAATTTCACTGTATAATTTTCTATATCAAGTCTATTTGCATTTTATGCACTGTTCTGTTTTTCTCTTCTTGAATTCTCAGTGAGATTTTTGCTTTTTCTCATTCAAAATTCCCCCATACATAACTAACATAGTTGAATGATTATGTACGTATACACTTGATTGATGTGTTGTAGTTCAGCAGTGACTAGTGTTTAAAATTGATCGGTTGTCAAAGACTAAGTCATTGTTCAGTATTCCACTCTATCTACATCATCAGCTTATTGCATAGTCTTTTCATAGAGACAGTGTAATCAGTGTGCATCTAAGATCCTGTCTTGCTTTTATCTTATATTTTTTAACTTTAAATCCACTAAGCATTGTTTCGTCTAAATTGTTTACATGTTTTATTTTAACATTTTAGTCAACGCTGACAAAAAAGCTGAGTTAGAAAAACAAATTCAATTGGAACGAGAACGTCAGGTAATTCTTGCATTTACAATCGACTGATCAATGAGTAGTGGTCTGAGTATTATGCTTTTCTAGTTAGTTGCTTAGTATCGATCGAATTCTATCGGTCAAAACATTTTAATGTGGTCATTATACTACTCTGAGTGATTCAACATTGCACAAACTATATGACTGATGTTTTGTTTGGAAGTAGTCAGTAGAAAATGCTACTTGATCTAAGTTTCTTGCTCCATTAGGACTCGACCCTGATTATCCAGTTTCACAACCCAAATAGCTTAGTGGTAACGTCTCGGTTTCGCTAAGCTGAATAGCCAGGATTCGAGTCCACCAAGTCGTATTAGTTCCTTTGAAATTACAGGTACGCTTTGTTTATGAATTCTAAGTACCACACAACGTAAGTCTATAGGGCTCTGTATTTGTTACTATCAAACGCCTAACAGATCTTGCGTTCTGTAAAGGTTTTACGACCATCAATTCCACTTTGTTTTCATTGTGCATCGTGGCTATTAAAATATTTACTATGGAATTCTATTATTGATAAGATGATCTTATTAAAATAAACTTTTAGTTTACTAGTGTTTGACGATTCACTTGAATACTACTTTGATTTAATTAGATTCGAACAGTTTCATAAACTTTTATTATAATATTAGGGGCATTAAAAGTTTTATCTTAATAAAAGGATGATTATCCACAATTGTTCGCAATTTCTTAACAATTTCGAAATATGCAGTAATCTACTATTTATCATAAACATGTTTATACTAAGCTTATTTACTTCGATTATAAGTTTATGGAGGCCACTTTAGTTTTGCTCAAATTTCGTTCATAGTCTCTGAACAATTCTAACTCTTTTTACTATCATTCCTCGTATTGATTTAAGTACGGTAACTTCTACCCGAAATGCATACATCCTTGGTTCTATTTTGTTTAAAAATAACTAACTAATTGAAATTTTAGAACTAATTACATAAATTTTTATTCATTTAAACAGTTTACATAATCACATAGCTATTATTATTGTCTTTAAGATTCGATAAACTGTGTTTCCATGTTACCATGACTATGTGTCTATTATTATAATACAATATCTATAATATAAGATAAATGAGATGTAACTGACAGTGAAATTCAGAACGCGTATCTCGTCGCATTTCGATTCATCAGCTGAAGTTAATTTTCATCCCGCAATTCAAACCCAGTTTACTATCTGTACTCAGCAATATAGCCAAATGCTCTGGGATGTGGGTTCACGTCCTAGATTCTATTGTCAACCACATACCATTTATTCTATGCAAACTTGTGACGTAACTGGTATTGATCAAAATTCAGTTAATGATGTTAACAACGAAATAGTTGAAACCATTAAAATTTCGATTACTAATGAAATCTTGTTTTAATACGTGTATGTATGTGTCTGTGTGCACTCTTCTTCTTAACTTTTAATCTTTCTGTGTCTGACTGTCTCTCGCTCTCTTTCTGCCTTTTTGTTAATACTGTCCAATTCGCATTGATAATATTAATAATAATAATAATAATAATTGTTATTATTATTATGAATAATTTTATCATTGTTATTGTTTCCTCCATTGTTGTTTTGTAATATCAGCAATATTGGCATATTTGTTGTTGTCGTTTCAACTAGTTCGAACATTATTTACTTCTAGTTGCTATTTGTTGTTTTAGTGTATTTATTTCCTCTTTTTTTCTCTCCATTGCACCGTTGTATATTTGAATTAATGTGTGTGTGTGTCTGTGTCTGTATGCGTACAATATTCTTCTGTAAATTGTTATATTTCTATGAACAGCTCTTATTTATTCTCTTGTTATATGTACACTTATCTTTTTCTAATGTTGCGTGTATTATTAACTATTCGAGTTGTTTGTAGCTGGCTACTGTTAACCCCGTAGGTTTGTTTGTGCGTGTGTGTGTGTGTATGTGTATCTCTATGCGTGTAGGTTTATTTTATTTTATTTTACATGTTTCCTGTACAATGGAGACTAGTCATTCACACTCAACGTTATATATTACAAGGCGTATTATTATTATTATTGTTATTATTATTATTAGTGTAGAATTGACCTTTGATCCCATGTTTTCTCTCTCTTGTGAAAGAGAAGGAAATGTATATATTTATATATTGCCCACTGTTACTTTCCTCCCTTTTACACATGTGTAGGCCATCTTGTTTCATGTTTGCTCTTTAACAATCTATGTATTAAGTCAATAGTAGTAGTAGTAGTGATAGTAGTATATGATGATGATGCTGGTGATTACCTTGTTCTGTATTAGTCATTTATTGTTTTTTCTTGTTCATTTCTTCTTCTCATATGAACATGTTTACTCAGTTATTTTTTTTCGTATTCCTGTTTAATAGCTCTAATTGATAATTCAGTAAATGGAATGTAGCAACTAAATTTTATGCACCAAAATTAGTTTATCATACATTTGATACTGAATACAAATATTAGTTTACTAAGTAACCCAAGTTCGAATCCAACATGGATGAGGTATACTTTACTCTGATTAATAAATGTTGATAAATATGAAATCTAGGTTGAACAGAATTTCCTCCAAACACCTAACATCAAAACATAACACTTCAGTCTTACTGAATCGCGAACATACGTTGCGTACTTCTCACATTTGAACATTCTGTTTATTTAAATACAATTATCCAATATTCTCGAGAATATTTAAAGTTATCATTGTTATTTCTCTGCAGGCTCGAGAAGAAGGACTTCGTCGACAAGCTCGCCTTCTCAGACGCCAAGAAGAGAAGCGCTTACGTGCTGAACGACGTGCTATGGCTATACAGTTAGGATCGGTTCTTGGAAATTCGTCCGACGACTCTTCATCTCATTCCTCTAGTTCATCGGGTAGTAGACATCATAGTAGTAGTCGTTTTAGGTCTAGACGATTTCAAGGTTCACCAGTTCGTCGACAATCATCAATGTATTCGTCTAGTAGTCGGAAATATTCTCCCCCTCCTACTCATTCAACACGCAACCGACCTAGAATAGAGTCGGAACGAGGACTTTTAGGCAGTCCAAGTCGTACTACAGATGGTAGACTACCGTCTCCACCATCTAATTCAAATTCAAGTAAGTCTTCCATTAATTTATTCAATAACAATTTTCGAAAGAAATGTAACGAGTTATTATTTTCGGGCACAGTTTTGGAGGTTTGCGATTTTTTACACATTTGAAATCATCAAAGGAAGTTAGTTTAAAATCGAAGGCATTTCTAAAACTGTCTGGTTGTTATAGATTTTCTCCTCAAATAAATGCACTGGTCTAGTTGTTATGTAATGAAATCTATTGATGCTTGAATTCATTAATTATATTCTGTGTCAACAAATCACATGTTACATTCTTGTGTATTAGATTTCAGTTTGAGTTATTCTAGACTAATTATAGAACACTTTCCACAATGTATACACATTTATGCATACGTGAAATTACTGTCTTTTTCCATTACTGCAATTTTTTTTAGGTAATTGCCCCAGAGACACACGTGGTTCTACTGATCGAATTCCCCGATCTAATAACTCATTACTTGGTAGTCCTATGCAAAATTCTTATTCCGCTTCAAAAGATCGTGGAACTGCTTCATCGTCATCTCGATTTATTGGATCCAGGGAAGAACAACGACGTTACAACTCCACGCGTCCTTACACATCATCATCGCGTGGTGCATTTACAAAAAGATCTGACTGATAATATCGATGATCGGTTAGTAGTTCATTGAAGGTGTATATTCTTTTTGTATTGTAATTTATGAATGGTTTGGGTTGTATTGGGTCCCATTTAATCTCAAGCTGTAAATGGCACAAAAGAAATTGTTTAACCTCTGATTCTCTAGCCCAATTAATGACTAGTACATTTTTATTGCATGTTGGACCAGTGACCTTCTTTCTGCCTACTGAATGAAGCATCGAACAGTAGAACATTAACCGTGACCTCAACCCTTTTTGGTCTTCGAACTCTTCTAACCCATCGGTTAATCAGCAGACAAAGATAGAAAGTAGATTAGTTCTCTATTGTACTTGATTCAGTTAAAACTTGAAACTCATCAAATAAGTTGACTAGGCATTTCTGACCTCACAGCAGTACAATTAAGGAATTACGATGTATAAATAACTTAGTCCATAAGTGATATTTTTGACTGAAATGTGTTCAGTCTTGGTTGATATATGAACCTTATGCCTCGATATAGCCATTATGACGTAAGCTTATATGGAATAGATGAAATGTGGTTAACAGTTGACTCCAAGACACTCATTTTGTCCTGTTTTGAACTCGTCGGTTGAATTCACCTGCAGCCCATCGACTTGAACTTTATTGCTAACCATATTCCATCTATTCTCTATGAATTCATTGATTATTTACGTTTTCATATGGTGTTTGATACAAGTTCAAAACTACTGATCATGTTTGTAGTCAGTAGCTTAATTTCAACTGTGAAAAAAAACTCCCTCTGTATTAGATAAACTATACCAATACCACCCGACAAATCATAATATACAATTATAATTATTGGTCAAACGCATTTATGTATATATATACGTGGCCTTCCATCATTTATTTTTCTAACTGAAATAATGAAAAAGCAATTTTTCTCTGACCACTAACCAAACCATTCAGTCTACTTTTTCTTAAAATGATATATGGTCAAACACTGCCACTGTAATTTTGTTCTCTCTCTTTTTATTTTTAATTAACCAGTTAATTTAATGGTCAGTTATGCGTTTTTCTTCTTGTTTTTATCTAAACTTTCATTTGTCCATCTTGATTTATTTTATTACGATTATGATTATTGACTACTAATCTCTCTACCCCTTGTCTAGTTCAATTTATTTGGTTTGTGTAGCTGTATTATGTTGTATTGATGTATGTGGTCAATGTAAGTTTATGTTTGCTTTTGACAGTGTGAGAATTCAACCTAGTTGAAAGGGTTTTATAAAGACTGGTTTTCAAACTTGTAAACTTCATTCGTCACAGTCGGTCGGTGTAAATATTGAAAACTAAGGAGCATTTAACAACTCTTTCGTTCTAATATCAACTTGTAGTGGATTAAACTCAATATTTGCTAAATCTATTCAAGTAAATTATAATAGGTAGCTCATAAGTGGATTACTTTTTTAGATATTACTGGAGTTTCTAATAAAGTAGTCGTGACTAGTGGATTATTCGTTCAGTCGCCATGTAATAAAATCAAAATTAATTTTAAGGAGTTCAGAAGCTTAAGATTTGGATTACGACAAAGAGTGGATGCACCTGTGCCATTGCAAATGATTTTGAGCCATACCATCTAAATTCTCTAACCACCGGTTACGATTGTCACATGGACTCCAACCTGGTAGTCTACACCCCTATTAACATGGTTCAGACTAATTGTTAGTGACTTCATGGATTTGTGCCATATTTTGGTCTGGCCGCCCTTAGCTTTCTTTCAGCCTACTCATACACCAGATAAAATTACTTGTCAAAGGCTGTCTTAAGCTCAACGAACATAACTATTTCTGGTCGTCGGAAAGTATGTCTATGTTCCAGAACCTGTGGAAGTCTGAATACTTGATCTATCCATCCACATCTTAATTTGAAACCAGTCTTACACCACCAATACTAAAGATTCTAGTTCTGAAAGTGTTATTCCTGGCCTCCTGAAATCACACTCTAAACTACATGTTCAAGCCAGATAGGGCACCAAGGTTCCTTGGCTCACAATCTAGAATCTTGCACCATCAATGTATTCTTCGTCTGCAAAACACATACAGGATCCAGGTAGATTCATTCACTTGACCTCACCTTTTTGATGTAAAGAACCGTCATGATTTACCCTTCGTGTACCTGAAGACATCACTGCTCCTTCCGCGTTGTCTCACTAGTGTAGGCAATCCCAGACTGGAATCCAAAAGACACTCGCTTGTGCACTCTGACTAAAGAACTAGGAAAAATAGGGGGACATACTGGCTTATATACCTACAACCACTGATTAGAGCTTAGATGAAGTAAATGACTTCCATATGAAGCTTTCAAACCTTCAGCAGCTAAACGCTTTGATGTAGCAACACAGTGGTTAGTGATTTTGATGCTCAAACTAAACCAAATCGAAAGGCACTTAAGTTGGTCTTAGAGTGCTGCGGCTCAACGAACTATAGTCTGATAACTCTATTTCTAGCAAGCAGCAACTTGAAACATATGGATAAACATCGTTTGACATGGTGAACTTCAAAATCGACTCAATAATGGACTGAAATAGACCACATTCCTATCTTTAATTTATTTTTCATAAATTCTCATAATAGGGGAAGTCGTTTTTTACCTATATTAATTTATGTTGTTGTTTGTAACAGGATTTTCGTTAGGGCTTTCTTCAATTTAGATCTCTTCTAAGAGCTGCTAAGGATTACTGATATAATGCGCATACAATGAGAAAAATAAGGATCCATGCGGCACAAATTCATTCACTTATTCTTTTCCTCAAGTTATTTACCTACGCATAGGCTACTGACCAGGTTTCTCCAACTAACTCTATATTTGGCTTTTCTTCCTAGTTTTCCTCAAGTATTCTTCATTATTTTGATGTTTACCGGCAATTCCTGGCTTATTCTTCCTCTTTTCGTTTTGTATTTGAATTCAAAAGATAGTTTTGATAGTTCTCCAAGTTTCAGCTCCACACAATATGACTGTCTTAACATTCGTATTGAAAATAGTGACTTTGGTGTTGATTGAAAGTTATTTCCAGTTAGAAATGTTCTTCGGTTGTAAAAATGTTATCTTGCTTCGTTAATCAATACCTTCATAATCTGCATCAGGCCCGCTTTATTTATCAATGAAACTGCTTATGTATGTGGAATTTTCCACCTCTTCCAGAGATTATCCATCGAGTGTGGTTTGGTTGTCGGTTGCCTATGTTGTATATAAGGATTTTGATTTTTCTTCTGCATGTTTTAAGGCTTATTGGTGATACACTCACTGTCTTCACTTGAATTCGTTCATGTATGGGACAAAAGGTTTATGTCATCTACGAAGTCCAAATCGTCTTTCTGAATCCGAGGCATTCACTGCATTCCTTGCTTCCACTAAGATGTTGAAGTTTTCATAATCCATTCAACCATCAGAAGAAAAATAGAGAGATTAAGCAGCCTTGTCTGGCCACAATCTTCGTTTGGAACGTTTCTGTGAGCTACCCTCAATACTTTCTGGCTTTCATTGATTGTCTTATTAAAATTAATCTATTACGTCAACTAATTGATTGATTGAGAATTTATGCTAACGTATAGGTGATATTATCAATCAATTAAGTTATCCGTCATAATATGTGTTTAGTTGATTCGGGAAATAAAATTTACTTCATCAGTCTAGTAATTAACCATACAAATCTTACTCTCATATAGAATACAATGTAATGCTCCAGAGTTATCGACTTCATATTGTCTTTGTGTGTGTGTAGTCACCCGTTTGCGTAGATCTACCCCTGAAGATAAGGAGTCATTTCGACTTACTAGTTCTTTTCTTGTAAGTTACCATGTAATACATAAATGTGTGTGTATATGGGGGAATTTTCTCTTTTTCCCATCCATGAATACTTGTACTACTCTATCTGACTATTATAATTCTTATTATTTTGCTTTTTTTACTCATTTTTCAAATGATGCTGGAATTTCTCGGTGTGTGTGTGTGTGTCTGTATGTGTGTTTTTCCCTTTTTGTTTTCCAAGTGGTTTCTTGTACCGTCATATAAGTTCTGTGTTGTTGTTATTATTGTTATAGTTAATTGCTTCAGCAAAAAAAAAACTCGCTTATTTCTAGTGAGTTGAGATGAAACAATTTTTGTTTCTTTCAAAAGAAAGTATTATCTATCCATATGTTTTTTTTTAGGTTAGCACTCACTATAAAACTAAGGATGAATCGATTTTCTTCTTCATATCTACACCTACCCTACGGCATTTTCTAACGTGTCTATTTGAACCTAATTATTATTTTTCAATTTATTTATTTATCAGTCTTTTCTTCTTTTTTTTCTCGTTACTGATGAACTCTTTTCTTTTCTTTTCTTTGTGTGTGTGTGTGTATGTTTTTAATCCGCCCTTATTTTGCTTTTTATTATTTTCTTCTCTCACATGTACACTACTTGTATGCATGTATATATATATATAGAGAGAGAGAGATAAAGTGTAGAAAGAAAAAAGGAATTTCCTTTTTTAGTTCACACAAACTCATGTACATGTGTGTGTGCGCGGAAAACATCCTATTTCTCTTCTCACCTACAAAATTTTATTCCACAGTCTAATTAATTGTACTTAGAGATAAGTTTCGATTAAATTATTACAATGATCACTATTCTTTTTTTTTGTTTTGCAAAATATTTCATTGTAAGGTTACAGTGTACGTAGATTGATTAAACTTTACACGTATCTGATTAATTTTTATCTCATCTGCAAATCATGAATTTTGGTCTGTTTATAAGCTTAGTTTTAATCGATTGATTGATTGATTATTCTTTGAAATCGTCCATGTAAGATGACTTGTCAAGCATTGTCCAAAAGTCATATATATGGTATAGATAATATAAAATGGCCTTAAATTATGCACTGAACAAATACCTTACACAAACAATCGTGGTCGTACTAATACTGCCTGTGAGACTCATTATGTAGGGTAATTCTTTTACAAAGTTCACATTTTTCATTTTAGCTGCACTGTTTCTGTAAACACTCTCATAATACTACTTGTCCGCTTCAAACTACAGTAGTTTTTGCTCCAGGGTGTGAACCTTTGACCTTATCAGTTGAATTTTAAGTACTGTTTAACCGTTTTACCTGAAATTTATATGTATAATAAAGAAAAGTTTAACAGTTTTAAAACAATTAGTGCCTTTCATAAATTTTGATCGAACAGTGAGATCGATTTAATAGTTTTATCTCTCTGTGGTAACAGGTTACAACACGTACTAAGTTCTATGTTGTGTTCGACAAATCATTAGCATGTATAAACTTCAATATTGCCTTAGTTGTATATCACAAACTGATGTTAGTTACGCAATCATCAAAAACCAGGAAGCATTTGGATAGCTGTTTCATTCTAGGATGATGCTAAAACTTTTCGGCAGTTAGCTTACACCGGAATCACAAACATTCAAGTTTCTCAATCTACATGTAAACTTCACATGCCGATAGGTTTTTGTGAGCGCTCTGTTAAGAGAGTTCTCGTAATAGGTTGGTTTTCAACCATTGTCTAACTAAGATATCATCAGTTCATAATGTAAACATGGAAATTCAATAACCGCACATATCCCACTTGATTTTATTGTCATTTAACTTGATTATATTTTTGGAATTACTATTTATCGATTACGCACCGGTTAATTTCAATCAGTAATTTTGGGGGTGTGAATTGATTGCCCTTTTTTTGTGAACAATAAAACACTTTCTTTAGTTTGGGCTAACTCTCGTCAGTATCTTCTACCATAGTTTTTTTTAATTGCTTGGTAATTTCAGCATTCCATTACAAATTGAAATCTGTTCTTCTATAATCTATAGTCTACTGAGCATCTGTTTTGTTTTCTCATATTATGAAAACAAAAACATCATCTTGCTTTGTTTGATGAATAGATAATTCTTGATGTGTTGTTGTTAATGTTGTGCTCTTTTCATACGATAATTATTTTTAATTTTCACCGATTTTCAAGTCATGTTGTTTCTCATTATTCAACCTGTTTATAAAAGGATGATTAGAGTATTTCCGTACAACAATGGTAGTAAAGCGGTGATAGTTCCTCCATATAATAAACATACTCAATTAATTGTTACAATATTAATTCTAATTTCATATAAATCACTTTGACCCCCTTGTTCCTCCTGTTGTAGAATAGTAGGCTGTTAAGGTCTGTTTTCTTTTCTCATAGAAATTGAAACTTGATAGTCAAATTGTGTTTATCGTAATGATGATGATGATGATGGCAATTTTCAGGCTAAGATTTTGTTCATTCGAAAGGAAAGAGGGTGTTAGTTTACACTGATCATTGAGCAGTGTTATTAACGCTACTACCAATGTGTGTGTGTGTGTTTACCTTTAAAATTGTCCTTATTCATTATCTATTTACATGTGAAAAAAGAGGGAGAGTAAGACAGACGATTTTTTTTCTATTGCATAATAAGCTCTCTTTCTATAATTCCTTCATTCATTTGTAATTTCCTTTTTGCCTTATGTGTTATTTCCTTTTTCCTGAAAAGTTGTTCTCAATTATTTCTTGTTGTTGGTGAATTCACTTGAATTTTTTTTCTGAATAAGATTTGTTTGTGCATAAGTAGTAGTCATATTTGTCATAAAATGTAATTTTGAAAATTCATTAGCTGACTAATAAATAAAATAGATAATTAAACAATTCGATGTTCATATGTTTCGATAGTTAAGTTGACTACCTTTTGTTTGTGTATTGAATTTTCTATGAGTATTAAGTGTTCAGTGTATGTATGGTAGTTTCATGATTAAGTTATTTTTAAGTGTTTCCACATGAAAAGTTCTTGGTGTTGCCACTGGTGACTTATTTTGAGGAGGGATTCTTTGGAGTTCAATCATTTTGGTTATTAATGGTACTGGGCAAATAGTTACCCGATATCACGAATTTGTGAAAGTTATGAATGATAACAATGATATTGTTGACTCATCAATGATCTAAAAGTTAAGTGATTTCCACTAGATCCGAAGATCTTGAAGGTCTTGAATGTATGTTAACGTATAGTTTTATTGTAAGACAAAAAAAGCTCTTCATTGGTTGTTTAGTCCGTGAACTCAAAAGTCTTCATAAACTACTAGATAGAAAAGTCGGAATCCTACACTAAATAGTTCAGCTTGACTTGAAAAAAGAAATATTAGTTTATTTTTGTATAGATTGAAAAATTTTATTCCATTTCAAATTATTTCCTCATACAACATCAACATCATTTCTAGGATTTGGACAGCCGGTTAGTAGTAGTAGTCTGTCACTAGTTGTCGTACACTTAAAATGTGACTTGAAGCTAATAACTCAAATCTGTACTTGATTTTGTCTTATTTTATTTGAACACATGGGTACGAAAATAAATACGGTGCACACACATAATTAAATGAAATTGTACAGATTTATTTGAAAAATAAGAGATACAACCGAAAAAAATAATAATTCATAAACGAGAGTGGTATTTGTTAATAGGAGAGAAGTAGTTTTGTGAAGAATAGAACCTGAAAGAATCATTTTAGGTTTCTATTCTAAGCTGGTGTCCGATAACAATTTATGCATTTGTGTTATATATTATATCTAGGACTCCAACTAGGGAGTGTTGTGAAGTACTGAGAGATGTCACAAAACCGACCATTTCTCCAGGGTTTTTTTCAACCAGTCACATTGTTGGCTAATACAGGATGTTTGCAATGGCGCAGGTGTATCCACTCTTTGTGTTCTTCCAATTCTAACCTTCTGAATTCCTCATAATCTCTACCGTTTTCCTTCTAAATTTATCTCACTGAATTATACTTCTCGAATCATATCTTCGCTCCCTGCTGCTAATAATTCTACTATCACTCTTGGATTTGAACTGACAGCTGCGTCTCTGTGCTGATGGGGCATGGCAACCTGAAATGATGTGCTTACGTACGATGTTCTGCGTTGTATCTGTCTGTCTGTCTGTGTAATACAGGATCATGACATTCACAGCAATACATCCGATGTTTCAAGTTAAGCGACTTCAATTGAACGCATCATGAATGTCATTGAACACACACACATTTTCCAACTTTGTCATTATTTTATCCATTGTGTTCTCATAAGATGACTATAAATAATTCAACAACCCTCCCCCCGGTAAATGAATTCAATTGGCGGTTATCAGTGAGAAAACAAGAGCAGCTAGAATTCATTACTAATAAGATATTATAATTTTATTTTGTATTTATCTGATAATAATCATTAATGCATATTCTTGTCATTTTTTAACAGTTTCAATATATGTTCAATTGGATTGAGCACATTGTTGCCAAATCAATCAGAATATAAGAATACTCACTCTCACTCTATACATATATGTATAACAGAAAGATTATTAACAACGGTGAATGCAAATTCACTTTAGAAATTATGTTCTTCTTTTGTAATAAATTTTGGAAAGAACAAATGGCGAAACTGTATAATCTAACCGTGATTTAAATATTATTATTACTATTGTTATTATTATTATTATTCTTGTGTTATGATATTCTACATTGTTTACATCATTGTATAAAATAAAAAAAGAAGAGAAATACGTACATTCATCATTGTCATCAACAGGAGCAGCACTGTGTTTCTGCCTGTTAATGACAAACAAACAGTTGAACACATACAAACCAATTATTTATGATGCACACACACACACACACATTTCTATGTATATTCATTTTCAAAGAAATAATAATTTTCGTCAAAACTATGTCTTTGCATTTTCTATGCATCATTGGGTTTTATTATTATTATTATTATTAGTGTATAAATTTTATGCTTAGTTGTAGTTCGATATGAAATCTGTGGGAGTATGAATAGTTATTATTATTATTATTGTTTAAATGAATTGAATGAGATAATTCATTAGTTAGTCTAAACCATACAACTTATTTGAACCGGCATTTATTTAGTTATAATGTAATATTTGGCTTTCCAAGTTTAAATAAATCTAAATCTGTAACCGATTGATTATGAGACTATAATTCATTCTCAATCTAAGTGATTAGATCGGTTGAACTGGCGGCCTTCAACCACACTTTAGTTACCTACGGTCGACAATCAACTTGAATGGCAAATTCTCCAACTCTTAAGGAGGTTAAAAAGCCTTTACGTAGGTATAAGGCGAGGGAGAGTAACAAGTCATGATTGGTTAACCCCGAAAGTTTTCAAGGATGATGGCCCAGTTTTAGCTGTTAGATGGACTGAGATCCTAGGTACAATCTGGGAACTGGATGTAACTCCGTCTGACTGGTCTCAATTACTGACTGTCCGAATATATAAGAAAGACAAAAGCCGTCTTGTGAAAATCACAGAGGAATCAGTTTAACTGTTATAGTGTCTAGGATATTAGCTTCAATAATACTTCGATGCCTAACTAGAGCTCGTGAAGATAAGACTCGAGAAAACCAGGGTGGTTTCACACCTGGATCTGGGTGTACAGACCAGATATTTACACTTTGACAGGTCCTAGAACATAGACACATATTTCGGCGTCGTACAATAGTTGTACTCCTGTTGGTCGCGATTTACACATCAACCTTGCAGACGTCTCCACTTGAACACTACTGGTCGAATAAGAGCTTGTGGCGAACTATACTTGGAGATGATTACTTCAGGTGGTGTTCGTCAGTGCTGTCCACTATCTCCATTCTTATTCAACTTTGTCATAGACATGCTGCTAGATATAACATTATCTTCGTCTGACTTTTCAGGGGTGGACATTCTACCAGGAGACTCCATTGTTGACTTAGAATGTACAGATTACATAGTTCTATTTGGTGAAGACACTGACAAAATGCAGGATCTTTTGACCACCTCGAGCAACAATGCAAGTATGTTCGCGATGCGATTCTCCCCCCGAAATACAAATGTTGCATCGGCACCTGAACTAGTGATAGGGAGTGGAATAGTTGGACACCTCGACCACTTTATTTAGCTTGTGAATCTCATAAGTTCTGACTGCCAGGTTTGTAATGAAGTCTCAGCATGGATACAGAAGGTTCAACTGGCTTTTGCCGACTTGCGTCACTTATGGCGTAGGCGAGTTGTCCGTTGTAAAAGGGAACTAGGTAAGTTTGGCAAATCAATCGATGAAGTAGTGACAGCTGGACTGATCTATGCTAGTAGGTGTAGACTACCTGGTTGGGGTCCACAAGACGATACTAACTGATGGTTAGAGACATTAAATGACATGGCTCAGAATCTCTTGCAATGGAGTGTGGTGTTAGGCAACTTGAACTGATGTACATACGTACTAAGTTCTACGTTGTAGCTGACTGATTGACTGAACTTATTGGTTGGTAATCAAATGATTTATATATCAAATCATGTCTTCTCAATAGAACTAATGTAAATCCATCAAGTACTTTATTATTCTCCAACCCAGATCATACATTGATTGTTACTGGCTTTTAAAAAGAGGTTATCCGTAAATCGCTAATATTTGATCACAGATTATTTCGAAGACAAACAGGGAGATACAACACAGAACTTCATATATAAGTACATCAGTTCAGGTTGCCATACCACATTAGCACAGAGACGCAACTGTCAGTTCAAATCCAATAGTGGTAGCGATAGTAGAAGTATTAGCAGTAACGGACAAGATTAGGGTATAATTCAGTGAGAGACAGATAGAGGTGATGAGGAATTCCGAAGGTTAGAATTAGAGAAAACACAAAGAGTGGATTCAGCTGCGCCATTGCAAACGATTTTGAGCTATGTCGTTCAAGGTCTCTAACCATGACATGACTCACTTGTCAGTGATTTCGAAGTATTTCTCATGTACCTTCAGATCGCTGAGGGAGAACGCTGGAATTAAACGTAGGGGATTAGGTAAGGACGACAAACTGACTAAGGGATTGGAAACATGAACTAGAGATAACCCACCACCCTCCTTTCCTAAAGAATGATGTCAGTTGGTGTATGAATGGGTTGGAAGAAAGCAAAGTGTGGCTAAACCTACTCATGAAATCGTTGACTTTTGAAATGAGCCTGATAAATAGGTCCAGTTTGCTCGGTTAGGGTCTTCGAGATTATCCTGGTTAATCGTTGTAGACTCTGGTTTCCCATATGTATATGAAATCTGATTGGATTCATTCATGCAAACTTCATAATTAGTATTCATTACGAGTTTACAATTCAAGTGCTGTGTTCATCTGGATTTACAGAATGGCCAATGTTTTCTAACTGCGAAGGAAAGATTGCTGAATTATAGATCAACAGAACATGCTGCTAATAGATTTTGAAATATGTACTGATAATAATGTCGACAAAGATTCGTGATTAAACCATCTAGCGAACGTCACAATTCAGCTAAACAATCATTGAAGGTGAGAGAATAGTTGATAGTATTTGTTTCTGTTGGGGATGTTAGATCCCCAGAACTCGCTTGATAAATGCCTTATTTTGGATTCTACGTTTGCCAGCATGAGCTGATCAGTTGACCTTGAGATTTCATTTCCCACCAGCAAAATCCATGGCTGTGATTGGCTGCTGTGTATTTTAGTGTGCTATTTTCGTAACTGTCCCAAGGACGTTTCTATGAAGTTTAAATAAACGACACTTGTGTACTTGATTGTATTGTTCTTGCTGTGTGTTTGTAGAATATACTCTCTACGCTTACCAAGTCTTCTGTTTTGCAGTTTTGGATTCAAGGTAGCCTATCTGGATGCTGGTAATTGTCTCGTTCGCGTTTATCGACTAAGGTGAACTCGTAATAGCTTCAAGCATACCTAGTGACGAACTTAACAGTTTCATCCTCATTTGGCACTTATTGACAATATGCATATTTTACTCCATATAGCTAGCTAGCTTTCGAATATATATATATATATATATATATATATATATATATATATATATATATATATATATATATAGAATAAGACTGAAATTAGTGGCTGACAGTTAAATGCTTTAATCAATGTGTCACACAACACTACTTGCTAATCATCATTTATATTCATCAATAAAATTCTGTCTATTTACCCCCCTTCTTACTTTATTTAGAAATTTAAAAGTTGACTTCATTTCACCCTGGTAATTTAATCTCAATTATTGTTTACACAGAATACTTCCGGAAAAAACGAAATTTTTTTATTCATCAATAAATTTTTAAACATTACAAGCGTACACAAATTATTTGAAGCTGATACGAGATAATATTAACAAAGTGAAAACATTTCACAGACTAAAAATACCATCATATATATATATAGGGACAATAAACTTACGTGAATCAATAATATGTCCCTACAATTTTGTACTAGTGCATTATGAGTTGAAAAATTATTCGAGTCCATATTGTCTTTACTAATCCCACCCTCTCTCTGTCTCTCTCTACCTACTTATCTATCTATCTATCTATACTTTATAAAGGCATAGGTAAACACAATAGAAAAACCTCATCAATATTCATTAAGTTGAAAATGCCTATCCTAACTCTGAAAGTCAATATCACTGTTTACACATTGGTTCTCATTCCACTTGAAAATTCATAATATCCCTTTTACAGAGAAGGGGAAAAATAAGGATAGAATTGCTTTTCTAAAATATATATTCCGTTATTATTATTATTATTATCATTGTGAGTTATTCTTGTTGTGTTTAACTATTTTTTTTCTAGATTAGCCATTTACCATTTCCGATTAATTTATTGTCTCTCTTGTAATTTAATGTCGTCACGCTATGAGATCTCAGAGATTTCTTAGCATTGTACACTCGTCTAAGTGTATCCGTACATATGCGGATGCATATTTATAGGATATCTACCACACATACGAACGCACACACACACTTCAGCTGTAATCCTTGGCTTATAACCTGTTGTTGGCATTCCATGCTTCAATGTTCATGTCATCAACAATCATGCATCAAACGTACAAACGAACAAACCGAAAACAGACGAATTCATTCAATGATGCAAACGAGGGAAAAAAAAAGTCTATTCCTTCTCAATGTTTACTTTTACATTGACAATATGAAGCACAAATATTGAGTGAGTGAGTGGGTGAGTGAGCAACAAAGAGAGAATTTCAAATGTAGATTTGTTTATTCAAAAGACTCAATAATAATTATAAAAATCATAATCATCATAATACTTATTGCGTGACAATTTCAATCTAATTGAATCAAATCAGAACATATATAAATATACATATATTGTATTATATATGATAGTTAATATATACATATGTATATTTTGAAAAATAAATTTTCATACTAAATAGAATTTAATGTATCAAAGAAGAATATTCATAATGTTTGCCATTGTGCATTATTTCATTTTTGCGCCTGATAATAATCATGTTCAATTATTAAGCAGAATTTTTATTGTTGATAATCAATGGTTAGTTAGTTAGTTTGTTAGTTGTTTAAATTTACTGATTGGAGGAACTATGAACATTGGATAGAAGATATATCTATTTCTTAATTGAACAGTTGAATTTAGGATGTATTACAAAGGATAACGGATAAAGGTATAATAATTATGCTACTTATTATAAGTAGTAGTGTTTGTTGCCAAGCTTTAAAATTGTTGTGGTGGTGTTTCGTTCTCTGAGCTGGTTGTTTTGGTTGTGGAGTTTTCATTGTTCTTCTGAACAACATCATCAGCACAAACTTCAGATAGAAGTGAAGCATTCGAATATTAATCCACGTTTGACCTTGGTGTTCACGTTTCGTTTACGTGAACACCA